TTTCCCCCCCCCCCGTCATTTCATTTTATTGTCCTTTTCATAAAATCCCTTTTCCCTTTTTTTTCTTCTTCCTTCCCAAATAAATAATTCTCTCCCTCCCTCCTCCTTCCCAGAAAAAAAAGCCAAATAAATTAGCCAAAAAAAGGAAGCATTTATATTGTCAAAGAAGTATCATCGAGAATTAGCTGCATTGTTTTGTTTAAGATTGAGTGTTGATAGCGTGTGTCTACTGTTCTGTTCTGTTTGTCTGTGGTTTTTGTGCTTGCTAGTTTTTTTTTATTTGTTTTTTCAAATCCATATTTTTTAAATCCCCTTATACTTCAGAAACTAAAATTCAACTTCTTTTTCATGAACTGTTAACAAAACAAAAAATTTATTCACTACCACGATTTAGACTTCTTTTAATAAGCAAAACAAAAAAAGAGCAAAAAAAGTTGGAAGACGATAATACCAACAAAAAAAGTCAAAGGCAACAACAGCAAAATGAGGAAAAAAAATGACCGCAAAAGCAAAAGCAAAGAACAAAAGAGCCTAAAAAGAAAATTTTTACTAATTCAAGAATTTTATCAATGAGAAGCAGCAAAAGAACTCAAAAAAAAGAGAAAAAAATGGAAAAAGAAAAAAAGAACAAAGAACTACTGACCGTCAATTACAATAAATATGCACGTCTTAAATTTTATAATCATTTGAAAATAAAATAAAAAGTAGAAGACAAACAAAAAAAAGGGATGTTAAAGATAAAAAAAAAAAGGAAAAAACTTGGAAGACATTTGAATAAACGAGCCATTAAACTAAGATGAGAATCCGTTTTGATGAACAAAATACACCAGTGATACGAAGAAAAAAAATTTAGTTTTTCCGCTTCATACCAAAAAACAACATTGAATTGGTTCATCAACGAGCAGCTCCATTCAATTTTTTTTTTTTTAGAATGCCTCACTGACTTAGTAACTAACTAACTAGCCATCCTAAAACTGATAAACTAAAAGCTTTTATTACCATGTAGATACTGGCTAAAACTTCATCTTCTCCTCCCCACATCCCCAATTTTTTTCTGGCTTCTTTATCGAGTACAGTTAGCAAAATACAATCAACAAATGCTTCTGATTCCAAGCATTCAGATACACTGTTACGCTCCCTCAACTGGCATACAGCGGTGATTTACGCGCGGACCGTATCAGCGTCAGTGGCGGAAGGCATAAACCCTTTTTTTATGAAACTGTATGGTAAGAGTTGAAACGTCAATTACTGTAGCCGTAAACAGTGCAATTCATGATAAATGGAAAAAGCTAAGATTGTGAAACGTTCAATAGATTTGCAGATAGAAACAACTTATCAGCAAGTGAAGTACAACAACTAAGAAAAAAAGGCACCAAACTAGTACTGTCCCTATGCCTGACTCAACCAAAGTGTTCTTTACAAATTTTTAGCTTTCATTTATCCTTTTTTTTTTTTTTTTTTTTTTTTTTTTTTTTT